CCCCTACAAAAACTCATTGTCTAGTAATGATACAAAACATGTCCCCTACAAAAACTCATTGTCTAGTAATGATACAAAACATGTCCCCTACCACAACACATTGTCTAGTAATGATACGATACATTTCCCCTACAAAAACTCTGTCTAGTAATGATACAATACATGTCCCTACCACAACTCTATGTTTAGTAATGATACAAAACATGTCCCCTACAAAAACTCATTGTCTAGTAATGATACAAAACATGTCCCTACCACAACACATTGTCTAGTAATGATATAATACATGTCCCTATATCAACACATTGTCTAGCCATGATACAATACATGTCCCTACCACAACACATTGTTTAGTTATGATACAATACATGTCTCTACCTCAATACATTGTCTAGTAACGATACAATACATGTCCCCTACCACAACACATTGTCTAGTAATGATACAAAACATGTCCCCTACCACAACACATTGTCTAGTAATGATACGATACATTTCCCCTACAAAAACTCATTGTCTAGTAATGATACAAAACATGTCCCCTACAAAAACTCATTGTCTAGTAATGATACAAAACATGTCCCCTACCACAACACATTGTCTAGTAATGATACGATACATTTCCCCTACAAAAACTCATTGTCTAGTAATGATACAAAACATGTCCCCTACAAAAACTCATTGTCTAGTAATGATACAAAACATGTCCCCTACCACAACACATTGTCTAGTAATGATACGATACATTTCCCCTACAAAAACTCATTGTCTAGTAATGATACAAAACATGTCCCCTACAAAAACTCATTGTCTAGTAATGATACAAAACATGTCCCCTACCACAACACATTGTCTAGTAATGATACGATACATTTCCCCTACAAAAACTCATTGTCTAGTAATGATACAAAACATGTCCCCTACCACAACACATTGTCTAGTAATGATACGACACATTTCCCCTACAAAAACTCATTGTCTAGTATTGATACAATACATGTCCCTACCACAACTCTATGTTTAGTAATGATACAAAACATGTCCCCTACAAAAACTCATTGTCTAGTAATGATACAAAACATGTCCCTACCACAACACATTGTCTAGTAATGATATAATACATGTCCCTACCACAACACATTGTCTAGCCATGATACAATACATGTCCCTACCACAACACATTGTTTAGTTATGATACAATACATGTCCCTACCTCAATACATTGTCTAGTAACGATACAATACATGTCCCCTACCACAACACATTGTCTAGTAATGATACAATACATGTCCCCTACCACAACACATTGTCTAGTCATGATACAAAACATGTCCCCTACCACATCACCTTGTCTAGTAATGATACAATACATGTCCCCTACCACAAGACATTGTCCAGTAAAGATACAATACATGTCCCCTACCACAACATACTATATTGTAATGATACAAAACATGTCCCCTACCACAACATACTATATTGTAATGATACAATACATGTCCCCTACCACAACACATCGTCTAGAAATGATACAATACATGTCCCCTACCACAACATACTATATTGTAATGATACAATACATGTCCCCTCCCACATCACATCCTCTAGTCATGATACAATACATGTTCCCTACCACAACATACTATATAGTAATGCTACAATACATGTCCCCTACCACACCACATCGTCTAGTCATGATACAATCCATGTCCCCTACCACAACACATCGTCTAGAAATGATACAATACATGTCCCCTACCCCAACATACTGTCTAGTAATGATACAAAACATGTCCCCTACCACAACATACTCTATAGTAATGATACAATACATGTCCCCTACCACAAAACACTCTATAGTAATGATACAATACATGTCCCCTACCACAACACATCGTCTAGTCATGATACAATACATGTCCCCTACCACAACACATTGTCCAGTAAAGATACAATACATGTCCCCTACCACACCACATCGTCTAGTCATGATACAATACATGGCCCCTACCACAACACATTGTCTAGTCATGATACAATACATGTCCCCTACCAAAACACATCGTCTAGTCATGATACAATACATGGCCCCTACCACAACACATTGTCTAGTCATGATATAACACATGGCCCCTACTACAACAAATTGTCTAGTAATGATACGATGATACATCTCCCCTACCACAACACATTGTCTAGCAATGATACGATACATGACCCCTACCGCAACACATTGTCTAGTAATTATATAATACATGTCCCCTACCACAACACAACACATTGTCTAGTAATGCTACAATACATGTCCCTACCACAACACATTGTTTAGTTATGATACAATACATGTCTCTACCTCATACAATACATGTCCCCTACCACAACACACTCTATAGTAATGATACAATACATGTCACCTACCACAACACATTGTCTAGTCATGATATAATACAAGTCCCTACCACAACACATTGTCTAGTCAAGATATAATACATGTCCCCTACCACAACACCTTGTCTAGTCATGATATAACACATGTCCCCTACTACAACAAATTGTCTAATAATGATACGATACATGTCCCCTACACAAACTCATTGTCTAGTAATGATACAATACATGTCCCCTACCCCAACATACTGTCTAGTAATGATACAAAACATGTCCCTACCACAACACATTGTTTAGTTATGATACAATACATGTCTCTACCTCATACAATACATGTCCCCTACCACAATATACTGTCTAGTAATGATACAAAACATGTCCCTACCACAACACATTGTTTAGTTATGATACAATACATGTCTCTACCTCATACAATACATGTCCCCTACCACAAAACTCTCTATAGTAATGATACAATACATGTCCCTACCACAACTCTATGTTTAGTAATGATACAAAACATGTCCCCTACAAAAGCTCATTGTCTAGTAATGATACAAAACGTGTCCCCTTTCACAACACATTGTTTAGTAATGATACGATACATGTCCCCTACCACAACACATTGTCTAGTCATGATATAACACATGTCCCCTACTACAACAAATTGTCTAGTAATGATACGATACATGTCCCCTACCACAACACATTGTCTAGTCATGATATAATACATGTCCCCTTCCACAACACATTGTCTAGTAATGATACGATACATGTCCCCTATCACAACACATTGTCTAGTAATGATACGATACATGTCCCCTACCACAATACATTGTCTAGTAATGGTACGATACATGTCCCCTACCGCAACACATTGTCTAGTAATGATACGATACATGTCCCCTACCACAACACATTGTCCAGTAATGATACGATTCATGTCCCCTACCACAATACATTGTCTAGTAATGGTACGATACATGTCCCCTACCGCAACACATTGTCTAGTAATTATATAATGTCATGATACAATACATGTCCCCTACCACAACACATCGTCTAGTCATGATACAATACATGTCCCCTACCACAACACATTGTCCAGTAATGGTACGATACATGTCCCCTACCACAATACATTGTCTAGTAATGATACGATACATGTCCCCTATCACAACACATTGTCTAGTAATGATACGATACATGTCCCCTACCACAATACATTGTCTAGTAATGGTACGATGCATGTTCCCTACCGCAACACATTGTCTAGCAATGATACGATACATGTCCCCTACCGCAACACATTGTCTAGTAATTATATAATACATGTCCCCTACCACAACACATTGTCCAGTAATGATACGATACATGTCCCCTACCACAATACATTGTCTAGTAATGATACGATACATGTCCCCTACCGCAACACATTGTCTAGTAATGATATAATACATGTCCCCTACCACAACACATTGTCTAGTAATGATACGATAAATGTCCCCTACCACAACACTTTGTCTAGTAATGATACGATACATGTCCCCTACCACAACACATTGTCTAGTAATGATACAATACATGTCCCCTACCACAACACATTGTCTAGTTTTCTTTTTACTTTTTACCTCAAAATCAACAGTGGATCTCCTCCCTCTTATTGTCGCCCTACTGTCGATAAGGAATTGTCATTGGATCCCCCAATGGTCATACAGTGACGTTTTCAAGACTCTTTATGGAATGCTGACCAAACTAAATCTTTGAAACAACATTCATGTTAATTTGACCTTGACCTTTGACCATTTGACAGATCAGCAGGGGACCTTCTCACCTTATTTTTTATTGACCTGTTGAGGTAACAAGCACTAGGTGAAAAGATGTTCTACTAAGGGTATAACATTCATTCCCACAGAAAATGTTAATATGACTTTTTGACAGTTTGACCCAAAAACCAATCAGGTTAAGGTAACTTTCTGACATTGTGACCCAAAAGTCAGTAAAGCTTATTTGAGAAACTTTCAGGCTTAAGAAAAAAGGAAAGATCTTCCGTTAAGCATATAAAACCCATTTCCACAGAAAAGGTTTTAGTGACCTTTTGACCCGAAATTCAGTTTAACTGATGTGTGCAACTTTTAGGCTCTAGGTAGAATCACTCTTGAGTTCGGAAATACTGTTCACGTGATAAGTTCTAAGCAGCTCACTGTGACCTTGACCTTTGCTTTTCTCAACCTAAAATAAATACAATTCTTTTATCCAGTTAAAATTCGTCTTGAATGTAGACGTAGGGTCCAGATACAATTTTCAAACAAACAATGACATCGACCTTTGATAATTTTACCGATCTCATAGTACGTTTAATCATAAAGTAAATATGTGTGCAATTACAGGCCGTACACAGTTGACGGTCAGTACACTAACATGTCCATAGACTGACGGACAGTGTCATTCTAGTAAGGTGATTTAGATACAGTGCCCGCACCTGACGGAGATTTCATCACGTGTCACAACCTGTAATTGGAAACATTGTCCGTTCTCTCAGACATATGATGCTAATGAAGGTCTAACCAGAGACTTAAGATGTAGCTGGAATGATAAAAACGACAATGTTATACATTTTGCATTTTTATTTGTTCATGATTTTAACATAGGTAAATTTAAACATAATAAATGGTCTGATCGTAACAGTAAATTATGCTTACATACAGGAACTTTGCCCGTCTCAAGTATAGTACTGATTTGACTAAATACCTTAAATAATGTTCGATAACTAAGCGAGACTTTACGATAAATGACGAGATTTGATCGTCAAGTGATTCGTAGTTTAGTTAGTTCTGTTTTATAAGTTAGCCATTCAATTTAAATTTACATACAATATATCTTATTTAATGATGCATCTATGGATTAACAAAATTTACATATATGATACATCTTCTAAAACTGATCACGCGACTAAACTAAGATAATTTAATACAGGTGTACCAATCTTTTTTAATATTTAGATTGTATTGCAAATAAATATATTGATTTAATTTATTAACAAGAGAAAAGATGGATAAAAATTTAACTGTTAAAGACAGTGATTTGAATGTTATTACTACGTGCTTGATAAATCTAACAGAAGTACTTCATCAAAAAGAAAACTAAAGTTCATCAATTAACAAGTAAGTAAAATTTGTACAATAGTGTAAATTAGATAGTCACGTGATCAGATTTGCATATTTATTCGCTATATACAATAACGACGGTTTGGTAATAAATAAAATAACAAATATTTTGCCCCTGCTTTTTTACATACATGTGATGGCTTCTCAAAGCAGTAACGACAATAAATAGTACAGACCAACAAATAGATCTTGGTGGAGTCATGTTAAATTAAAGCATTCGGCAAAAGTCATATATGCAAATTAGCGCTACGAAAAATGTCGAATAGCATTCGAAGTCGTATATGCAAATTTGCGCTACGAAAAATGTCGAATGGTTTCATTAAGAAAGGAAATGAGATGTTTCTCCTCTGTGACTAAGCCCTGCTCGTAACATGACGTTAGTAGTGTGCCTTTATTGGAAGTATCCTAATCTATTCTAAATTAAATATCAACATAAGACTGAACGTGAACCATTCCTCGGAACATCAAATATATCAAAATTTGTAACATTGATATTTGTTACGTTATTTGTAGCAAATTATTTATCATTTTTTTCAATGTTTTATTTTTTTTTAATTTGGAAAGATGAATATGGATATGATACACTGAATGCCGTGGCGTCATTGTGTTCGACACAGTGTCAATGTAACCCTGAGCTGTTTAGAGTGGCACATTGTGGAATGCAGTGGACACATGTTACGAGGAAAGCTCTACAGGAAATGTCCAACAATTCACTAGCATCTGTTTGAGAAACATGTCACTTCCGGTCTTGGTAATAAATAAATGAGCTGATATATATGTATTTGATGTATCTTTGTTCTCGGTGGGAACACATCTCTTTATCAAGCGGCATGGTGAATGTGTGTTCGGACGAGGAACTGATCAGGGTTCAAGTCAATGTTTGATTGTATTAAGCTAGCGATGAAACCCCCTCAACTCACACTCCTTCATCTTTACTGAGATTCAAAATTCAAAAAGGTTTAATAAATAGAAATAAAAATATAACTTTATCACAATCATGTGACAACTGTACAACCAATTTCTGCATCATCTCATTTAAACTTCAAAGTGTCACTCATCCTTATCACCTCCGTGTTGCTTTTATCACATCACTTAACCGTTACACAAGCTTACAACGTCACAAATGTCGAGATTTGAACGAACCAATCACGCTTCGCTATTTATCATTCGCTCTGTAGTGTGTATAACACATAATAAATATGGGGCTTTATATCAATGTTATTCAATGACGTCATGATGAGACATTTCCGTGTTATCTTAATTATAAAATAAAATAAATATAAAAAGCTTTTGATTTACATAAATGTTCCCTCTCCTGTGGGGACTCCTTAGATAAATACTTTATTTCCTGCTAGATAACTGAAGGCACTACATATCTAATTGGGGTGGGGGTAGCTCATTAAAATTTGTCAGTCTAGAAAATATTTTACGCACTCAATTTTTTTCCTGCAATTCTGGAAAGAATTGTTTGTTCCGTGTGAAAAACGATTTGCATAGATATCATTTAAGAAAATGTCCGTCATTGGACAACTGAAGACTAGACTTATAGCCCTTTATTTCTACAATTATGTGTATGCTTCAAGTGTCGATTGTTTTCGTTAAAAAGTTTCATCATTTTGACAGATTGCAATGGTAGAATTCAGCTGTTAAATTTGTTGTAATATCAATATAGCACTTACAAGACTCGCTTCAAATCGAATGTCAAATCAGAAACAACGGTCAAAATCTTAAGTTAATGGCTGGAAAATGGTTGCGCAGTGTCCTCGACCAGTACAACACCGTCCGACATTTTGAAACATTGGGCAGCTCTCTACTAGCCAGCTTCACTAACTCTAAGTCGTATCACACCAGTACATCATCTTCTGACGTTTTGAAGCATTGAACTGCTGTCTACTAGCCGGATTAACTACTAGCCGGATTATCCTATTGTAATCTTATATACTATTCTAATACTTTATTAATACTCATATGCCTACACATTATGAAAATGGATGAATACATTTTATACTAAATATGTCAGTTATTATCAATTTATGGATGAGTTATGAAATATATATACAATGTATTATTACGGTCATTTATTACCTTCGACTACTACAATGTAGGAAATGATTAATATTGACTACTTTTTTTCTAAACGTTTATAACATATTTAGACTAAAACCTTTATCAGTATCCCCTTACCAGATTTGAACTGGTGCATATCCAAACAGCCAATTAAATTATTCCTTTTTAATTTGTGAATATCAATAAGACTCCTGAATATGCATCAGACTTCTCTCTTTTATGCCTTTGTCAAGAATAAATCACATTTGATGTGATCTTTTGATAAAATGAAAAATTTGTATGACCTTGAAAACCGGCAAGGCTGAGCAGCTGGACGTTGTAGCCATGGTAACAAATATATTATACGTAAACATGATAATTGAACTGTATGGTTACGTTGACAACATAAAGGAGCTTATTAAAGCTTAACATAGAAACAAGTATTTGACAATAATGATAATAATATTAATGATACAGATAATAATTATATATATATATATATATACGAATGTACAAAACTGATGTTGTAACGGGTTCTGTCCTGTTACATCTCTCGCTCCCACATTTCTCACAGACTCCCACGCACACCTTATATAACTCACATTGGCATACTTCAATGCTTCCGGTCATATAAATACATATATAAGTGACATTACTTTGCAGCCTGTCGTATGTTACTTGCATAGAGATCAATGGTTAAAATGGGCATGCGCACGCACATGTTAAATGAAAAGTTCCATTTATGGCGGCGGCAATTTCGATAGTGTTTGTAGATAGAATGAATGCAAGGTAACATCTTTCTGACGTGTCCAAAATACACGTTCATAGTCTGAATCCAAGTGATTGAATGAAACCTCTCTCTCCTTACTTAATTTATCACCGAGAAGGATTATATTTCCTTGGTCATTCTCATTCCTAAATAGTATTGTTCTAAAATTCTTTGAAGCAGCCGTTATTATTGCATTCGTTCTTGAATCTGCTGTGGCTGGTAGTGGATGGCGTGGCCACCGGCGGCCATGGTCTGTGGCATGGCGTAGGTGTATGCCGCAGCAGGTGTCACGAATCCGTTCGCCGAGGTGGTGTAAGGAAACTCGTACGCGCTGTTGGCGAATTGTGAAGCATAGGCACTATAGTCAATGAATTGTCCGGTAGCCGTAGTGGCCGCTGTGGGGCTCAAACTGCTGTGCTGCATCGAGGCTAGGAGGCTCGGCGATGTCGCTGCTGCAGCTGAGAGGTAAGCTGTTGAAGGGTATACGTACTGTGGTAGCCTGCAATGTATAAAGGGCAAATTCAAATAAATAAGGTGCCAGATGAGCATATTGTATCGAAAACGTTTCAACTCATTAATATTGAATACCAACTTAAACAGATTATTATTGATCTATTTTTCAAGAAACAAACACCTTTTTTCGGAATATGATACAACCATTTTTTTTAACTTTAACAGCCAACGAGAACGTTATATTAACATTCTGATTTCATTAATGGTGAAAATGAAATTAAACATACAGTTTTATAGAATATAAGAGTATTTGCCATTACGTTATGATATTAAGTGAGTTTACAATCATTTCATATAATACTAAAACATTTAGCATGAACCTAATACCGGGGAGGTAAAAGGAACACACCTTCAGAACGGTCAAGAAAACCAATCAAATCTGTGATATATACGTGCGGCACTAGGCTATTCCGTCAAACATACACACTTAAACGTGAGGATTAAATCCAGTGTTTTATGGTTGGACGGGCTTTATTATATTAATAGGGGTCGAAAAATCGACATACACACAGCGTAAGAAAAAAAGTATCCCTTTGTTTTTCAAAGCCCTACAAGAGGTGATACAAGGGACTACGAAGCAACTCGAAAAACTCAATCAAACGCTTGACACTGGGATAGGTTTAATTCATAGATTGGGTGATTTAAGCAGATTCTATTGTGACGTAATGCAAATGATGAGAATTAAGATTTCTGACTATTGTATGGTGTCGGAAACCTATGGTATTACAACAGTATGGTTTTATTGAGCTAAGAGACAGAGTCTGATTCATAACAACAGAGGTTTAAAGGCGCAATGATGTTGTTAAAATATAAATGGCAGAAACCCAGAGAACCGGCTTCAAAACAAGTTTTAGGCTGTATCTGATTGTCAACACAACATCGATGCGGATTGGTCGAGAGCTGACCTGTCACCTAGTCGACCAGACGACGGAGTTGTCCAAAGATGAAAAAGCGGGAAGGGGTACTTTCCTGAATAAATGTGTGAGATCATCCTAAACAAACACGCAACAGAGCCGAAACCAACGGACCGGAAGTAGTATCGATACATCAGCAAGGAAACCACTAAATATGGCTGAACAACGTTGACAATCAACTGAAGGTCTTTTGTATTGGAACAATTTGTATGTTTGACCTCTAAAGTGACCGAGTGTAAATCAATATAGCCAATAACATCGGTGAATACATGCAATGAATGCCAACTTTCGAATAGTGGTGGAAAGCGCAAAAAGATTCAAAGGCGTAAAATAAGACAAACAAAGCATTTGAATGGCCCAGACTTATAACAAGCATTATTCTGACCTTGAATAGTTCGCCAGTGTTACACAACCCATACAAAGAATGGGACGTCGTTATTATCTGACTCGAGCTCGATATAGCCCTACCATTATCGGGTACGATATATGATCATCCTTCTCTTGTTTGTCATTCTGTTTAAATCAATTTGTTTGTTTTTATGCCTCAAAATAAGCAATGATTCATTAGCTGTAATTATAGAGCTCGTATGACCGTCCCCATGGCCAGTAAAAGTACGCGATTATTCGTCCATGGGTTTGTACATATCTTTATAGTATCACCTATTCAGTTCTTTTACATTCTGAGTAAACTGCTTTAAAAGTGTGTTATTTTATAACGGGGTCATGTAGGGAAACTTCAAATAAGGAACATGTAATAATGTTACCCAGGTAACGATATATTCTATAATCCAATAACAATTTCAGTCTCTTAGTTTTAACTCGGAAATTTTAAATCTTTGTTCACAAACCAATTTACATTTCCAACATATTTCGCTATCCTGTCTCTCAATTTCACTTTGATAATACCGACCACGAGATCCAAGTTAAAATGACCACATTATTCGCTGTGTAAAAGGTGACCAGTTCCATAAATAACCCGTCATAATACAATCCAACACATCACCGTTTACTTAGTTTTAAAACCCAGACATCACAATGATCTAAACCCCTCAGTCAATAGTATGACCTCATATATCGGATATTCAAACTTTTTAAAGTTTCGAGGCGTTACAAGTTTCGTTAGACATATCTAAAAACCTCACTTACTTAAAATGTTTTACCGATCATAGAGCCTAGAGTAAACACTGAACGAGATTATTGCCTGGTTTAGTTCGAATGACTTTCGACTATATACAAAGATCATGGAGTTTATATAAAATATTAAAGCAAACTGTATCCAGATTGAATTGAGATTGGCATCTTGAACATTAAATGACCTTTGGTCAGTTGTTCTTCACCACTGGTCATTATCACACGGTGAGTATGGATTACAAAGTCGATGCGTCAACATAGCCTCGCTACAATAGGGGGACCTACACATGTGAGCGCTGTACTGCGGAGGGATTCCTGGACAACGTGTCAGACCTAAACTGTCTGACCTAATGGTCGATAGCCCAGCTCAGAGATGCCAGTCATACCTGTTAGCAGGTCAGATTATCAAACCATTAAATATCAATATGAAGACCCCAATGTATCTAGGACTTACAGTCGTTAGTGCGGTCAGTCTGTCCTCTATATAGTATATCAAAGTCCAAAGAGAAAATATTCATTTGAAATCGAATTATAATTTGTTCAAATGCAATATGAGAAGTGGTTCAAAGGGTCGAATATCTACTCATTATAAACTGACAGGTAAACAAGTTAAAATAGCACCTGTGTGACACATGACCTACTTATTATTCTATATGAAATTCTGTTGGTATGGAAAATACAATTTAAGCCAAATACTAATCGTTAGGCATGGTAATGGACCCGTGTGTGTGAAGATAACGAGTTCTGCCTACAAATACTAGACCACGGGACTCAATAGTGTTTGAAACAAAACCCGTTCATGTCATATCGACATCTAATTCAGGTATTCTTGTTACGTATCAAAGGGTTTGTCTGTAATGCAACATCACGTGTGATTGGTCAGGTCAATAATAAAGCGATCTTACGATGAAATAAGACGTGACGTTTGATTGGCGGATTGAATAGAGCCTAGTCCTCTTCCTCAGAGCCGTCACATTGCTGTGTTACATCACGACCTGTATTGATATTTTCACCGGTAGATCTTGCATGTTTGCAACGGAATTTTTGATCGATATTTTCCAATCTATCAAATCCGGATTCACTGCTTGACGGGACCTAATCCGGTTCTGTCTGTTAGTGTTAGATCACACGGGAACAACGTGAGGCCGAGAGTGTTGATGGGAGCACCGTAACGAGGCTAACATTCAACCATATTTGATTTGAGAAAAATCAGACAATGAATCATCGATATGTTTTCTTAGATCTCGGACGTCTAGAAATTTCGTCACAGTAAATACCCGTCTGTGTGTAAACGTATATCGGTACATTCGCGTCGTCCAGTAGCCATAAACCTAACCGTTGATGTGAAAGGCCATTAAAAGGTCAATTGTCCATTTAAAGCATCGATCTTTTATTCTTTTCATACAATCTGAACTAAAACCCTTAACCTTAAACAATAGTTAATGGCCACACCGTCCGCCGTGTACTTTCCTTTCAAACATGAAACCATTGTCTTTCACGTCATGCCGTACAGACTGTTTCCACCACAGCGCGCCGGTCAATGGCGTTCGTCTATCGTCCGTTTTTGTTGGCAGCCACATGCATTGGTCTACCTTGTAGGTTTCAGAGGTACAAGAGAATTGCCGTCAAGCATCTGTTGTTTATTCTGTATAATGGAATAATTAGCACTCTGGTCGATCATTGTTAGTGAAAGGTGCCCCTCCAGCTCAATGAACAGTATGTCAATATGCGGGAGTGGTAATATTCAACGTTAACATCGACAGAAACATCCAGCTCAGCTTCTTCCCCGCTTTTAAAAAATCATGATATGAGATATGGAAAAATTCCAGCAAATGTAATGCAAGGTAGCTAGCAATTGTCGAATATGATATTCAGAGTATAGCGGTTTTCATTTATGTATGCGCGTTTCAGACGAATGTTGGGGTACGATTGTCAAGCTGACATGGTGGCGTCTAGGTATTGGGTCAAGCTTGTATGTGGATTCTGAACCTCACATACTTTTGTTTTCTCCTGCAAGTATAAACATATTGTGTCAACGGTTCCTGTGAACGAATAGGAAGCTCGATCGGCAGTGAAAAGCCCATACTTAGCTCAGGTGGGCTGAAACCGTAGACCTTCGGCTACATTTTATATCAATAACATGTTGTAGAATTGATTTTTTAGCGGTTTACCTATTTGCTGCGAAATTGTCGTATTAAGTGTTACCAAGTTTTACTGGATTAATAACCATTCATTTTAGATGTTTGAGAAATGACAAATTAGAACCAACACTCATTTGTGTCTTGTTTAATGTTTTTTCGTTTAAATGAAAATATTGGTATTTTTTCCTTAATGTGCAGCCATTTCTGGCCTATATTGCAATGTAGTGATACAGATATCAACATTCTACATAGCATGATGAGAGCATGTCTAACCATACCAGTTACAAACGAGGGGGGTTTGATTTACGATGGAACAGCAGTCAGTACATGGTATACGCTACAGGCATCGGCTGTTCTACGTGTCCCGTTGCACAATAGAGATTAGGCCAAGATTATATCTAGGACTTCTACAAATGTGATAAGGCAGACCGTATCTATATAGCTATCTTAAAGATATTTTCAATTTATCTTTTAAAGTCTATCAAAACCAAGGCAAGTAAGTTAAAGTGTTATAGAAATACCCTCACCATGTAAAAGGGTGGCGCTGGAACAGTCTCACAGCAAAATACACACAGACAAATCTGATAATATTTAGTAACAGAAAAGACGGGATAAAATGAAAGATAAATTTGTTATTTTTAACTAAAGCTTTTAAGTAAATGATATGGAAGACTGGTTTAAGATATATATACACTATGGTACGTGTAATCATGGCTAAGGTCGGTCGAAAAGTAAACAGTCCTCGTACGCTGGAACATCGATTCCTTTTCTATATTTATTTAAAGCTGAACTCACGTGTC